TGTATTCTATTCCATATCTTATACTATTTTACATTTTCTATATAGTTTTTCCCCTCTTTTAATTTTCTCAATTTTATTTTGATTATCTCATCTCAATTCAAATAATTATATTTATACTTTTGTCTGTTCTGTTTCAATTTCATATTATCTTTTCTCATTAAACAAATTTTCTCCTGTAGTTACTAATTGGAGTATGACACCTTTATATCTTTTAATTACATCCATTCAACTCTTATTTAAACTTCAATATATACCTTAAGTTTATGACCTTCAATATAATACATAACTTCCAATCAAATTCTGCTTGGTACATTCTTATAATACACACTATATTCTTTAAAAAAAAAAAGTAAGATTGTAAATATATGTAATTATTCCTCATTCCATTCCAGTTCAGTTCTATCATTAATAATCATTAAAATCTTAACATCTTTAACACTTCTTTTCAATTAAATATCATACTTCCTTAAAAACACATATAATCTCCATAATTAATGTTTCCCTTATTTCTCTTCACATATGTTTTATAAATCATTAAATATACCTTTTGTTACATTTATTTATTGACAAGCATTCCACTGAATTACGATAGCTATTTTATCAGACATTTTAATCATACATTGTTTCATATTTTCTAATATTATTTCTGCTTCTAATATAACCATACTATTTATGTACCTTTGCAGAATTCCTTTTTCCATTACGTTTTCACCCATTATCTCTAAATAGGCCCTGTTTCTCTATATTTTGCTTCTGTCCTTTATAACTTCTTTTCCTTTCTTTCTTCCCTCTCATCTTCTCCCTCCCCTTTTTACCCCCTTGTCTCTCTACTTCTAATTCTCTCTTCTGCATTTCCCTCTTCTGTTGCTTTCTGATTTTATACTTATTTTTCACTCTGTTTTCGAGGGGGGGGGAGTTGTTTTTCCCAATCTTAAAGTTTCCATTCTCTTTCCCCCCTTTCCCTTTTCCCCCCCATCTAAGATTACTTGTTCATTAAAGATGGCTTCTTCTTTGTCGTAATCTTCTTGTTCTGCAGGCATTTCTTGTTGTTTCTCATAATTCCAAATCTCCATTTCTAAAAACTGAAATATGAAGCCAAAAGAACCTCTCCCTTCTTGTGCATCTTCTTTGTACTTTTTAAGTTCCATTTTCAGTTCTTCTAAAAGTGGAGCCATTTTAAACAGTTTTAAACAACCACCCAATTGATTTTAGTCATTCAAAACAATAACCAAGAATCCAGAAATTATCAAGTAATCCAGATAGTCTTCGACCTCTTTGATGTGCAACAGGATGAACTTCACTTCACTGTATCAACGTGCCATGGACCAAGAAGCACGGCGGGGAGGAGAGCTACTGGACTCTGCATAGAGTCATTGGATGGAAGTTCCCAGTTCCCACTACCGCCCGTGTTTGAATGTGATGGGGTACCAAATGACCGCAGTCAGATCGCAACACCTGAGGTCATAAGTAGCATGCCTCACCTACGGCACCTGGCGCATCACTTCCCTGCTCTAGATCCGGAGGCTGAGATCCTACTCTTGCTGGGAAATAATGCAATAATGCCCTCTTCTCCGAATCAGTCGGTGGCCCTGTATACGGGCCAGTCGCCATCAAATCTCCACTAGGTTGGGGGATCGTAGGCGTAGTCTGTATCGATCGCCTACAGCCCCCAAGCCAAGCCACTGCCTTAGCTACTTCCATTCTCAACAATGGCAGACCACCTCACCTGATGCCATGCCAAGACCACTTTTGACAGTTAAACCTGTCTTGGGAGAGGCACACAGAGAAGATAATGACTTAGCTTTGTCCGTTGAAGACAACAGATTCCTTCAGCTCACGGATAAGGAATTTCAACAAGATGCAAATGGTAGCTAGGTCGCGCCACTACCCTTTCGCACTCCCAGACAATGCCTGCCAAACAACCAGAAATATGCACTCTCCCGCCTCTTCAGTCTCAGACGAATCATGACCTGGAAGCCAGAGATGAAAGCTCATGTGGTGGAGTTCCTGGACAAAATGATAAGGAATGGACATGCTGAGCCGGCCCCACCCTTGGAACCTGACGAAGAATGTTGTACCATCCACATAAACCAGGCCAAATACGTATAGTTTTCTATGCCAGTGCACAATTCCAAGGTCACTCTCTAAACAAGGCCCTTTTGACAGGACCTGACCTTACAAACAGTCTCCTTGGGGTGCTCATCCACTTTAGAAATGAAGCCATAGCAGTTATAGTCGACGTACAGCAGATGTTCTGTTCCTTCCTCGTACGGGAAGATCCCCGCAACTACCTCTGTTTTCTATGGTTTAGTGATGACCAGCACGACCAACAGATTTCCGAATACTGAATGAGGGTGCATGTATTTGGCAATGGCTCTTCCCCTGCTATTGCGAACTACGGACTCCAATGTACTGCTCGAGAGGGAGAAGACAAATATGGAGAAGAGGCCAAACGCTTTGTAGAACACAACTTCTACGTGGACGATGGCTTGAACTCCGTAGACACCCCAGCAGAGGCCATAGACCTATTGAAGAATACACAGCAGATGCTAGGGATGGCCAACCTCAAGCTACACAAGATAGCATCCAATAGTGAAGAAGTACTAAAGGCCTTTAGTCCCGAGGACCACGCCAAGGGACTGCAAGACCTCGATTTCACCAGCGACACCCCCTTCATCCAATGCAGCCTCAGCTTGTGTTGAGACTTGAAGAAAGACTTCTTCACTTTCAAAACCCCAGCCCTAAAGACCAGCTTCATGAGGCGAGGAGTGCTTTCAACAGTTAACAGCCTGTTTGATCCTCTAGGGTTTGCAGCTCCAGTCACCGTCCAAGGTAGAATCCTGTTGCGCTCGCTCTCCCAAACCACCAAAGATTGGGATGAACCACTCCCACCAGAACAGAAGCAAGAATGGGAGTCATGGTGCAACTCTCTCCGCTGTCTCCAAGATGTGCACCTACATCGCATGTATGTTCCCATCTCGCCTACCATGGCACTAAGAAAGGAACTACATGTTTTTTCAGATGCCTCCCAAGGCAGTAGCAGCCGTGGCATACCTCAAAGTCTACAGCAGAGAACAACGTATATGTCGGATTCGTCATCAGAAAGGCAAAGCTAGTACCGCAAAAAGGTCACACTATACTATGGCTGGAACTTTGCAGAGCAGCGCTGGCAGCGGAACTATCAGACATGATAAAGAAGATGATAGATCTTCCCTTAGAACCCACCACCTTCTATACAGACAGCAGAGTGGTATTGGGTTATATTTACAATGAGAGTAGATGCTTCTCCATCTACGTGAGCAACAGAGTTGAGCAGATCAGGAGATCTTCTAAACCAGTGCAATGGCGATATGTTCAAATGGATCAGAACCCTGCAGATCATGTGACAAGGTCTATTCCTGCATCCCAGTTATTAACTTCTACCTGGCTCACAGGCCCCGAGTTCTTGTGATGTACATACACCTTGGAGCCAGAAAAACCAGATTTGTATGAACTCCTAGATCCAGATAATGATGGCGGCATTCGACCCCTAGTCAAGAAGGTAGAACCAGTCATCCCTCCGGGCATCTGTCTAGCAACGACCTTCCAACGCGAGAAGATAGGCCCCTTAAAACCTACTTGCTTTGAATGCTTCTCCCAATGGAAACCCCTCATACTGGGAATTACGGTGATCGTCTGCACAGTTGGCTGTCTCCTCAGTCATCGGAAAGGCTCAAGTCATACTTCCCAGACCACTACATTCATGCTGAGAGATGAATATTGAAAAGTGTGCAACAAGACGCATATCCATCGGAATACGGATGCCTGAGTGAAGGGAAGCCCATACCACAATCCAGTCCACTTCTGAGACTGAGCCCTTACCTCGACGAATAGGAGGTACTGCGAGTAGGGGGTCGCCTACACAAAGCAGAAATAGACTCACCAAACAAGCACCCCATCATCCTTCTGCCTAACCAACATGTAACGAGGCTGTTAGTACAACACTACCATGAACTAATCCATCATCAAGGCTGCCACTTTACAGAAGGTGCCCTCAGAACAAGTGGACTCTGAATAGTAGGCGCTAAAAGATGTATCACATCTGTTCTGCAGTCTTGCTTCCATTGTCGCAAGCAACGAGGTCAGACTCTACACCAGATGATGGCTGACCTACCACCCAAGCACCTGAGTTCTGAACCATCATTTACCAATGTAGGCCTTGATGTTTTCTGCCCTTGGTCTGTGTCTTCCCGATGGACCAGGGGCAGTCAAGCTAACAGCAAACAATGGGCAGTACTCTTCACATGCTTCAGCATTCAAGCGGTCCATATCAAAGTCATCGAATCTATAGACGCCTCTTACTTCATCAACTCCCTACGAAGGTTTCAAGCCTACAGAGGCCCAGTCAAGGTATTCAGATCTGACTGTGGCATGAACGCTTGTAAAGAACTACAGATAGAAGATGGCATTCGCCCTGACTCGCCACTTGATGGCTATCTTAAAGCCAACAAATGCACATGGATATTTAATCCTCCCCATGCATCTCACATGGCAGGAGCGTGGGAACGCATGATCGGAATAGCTTGTCAGATCCTTGATTCGATGTTAGCAAAAGCGCCTAAATTGACACATGAGACTTTATCTACCCTTATGGCAGAAGTCGCAGCCACCATCAATGGTCGACCTTTAGTTCCAGTCTCTTCAGATCCTGAGAATCCAATCATTCTCACTCCAGCTTCTTTGCTAACTTAGAAGACAGGTGATTGGCCCGGGCCTTTAGGGAACTTTGATTCTAAGGACTTGTACAAACAACAATGGAGACAAGTTCAAAGCTTGCCAACACCTTTTGGAACCATTGGAAGCAAGAGTATCTGTCTACCCTACAAGATCACCGTAAATGGAAGACCAAAGAACCGAACCTCAAAGAGGGAGACCTTGTCTTGCTGAAAGACAAGGATGTGCATCACAACACGTGGCCTATGGGACTTGTATCTCAAACCATGTCCAGCTCTGATGGACTTGTCCGCAAAGTCAAGGTCCTAGATTCCTCCTGCGACCAGCAGACCTTTACCAAGAAGCTCTACATCAGGCCGGACACCGACCTTGTGCTACTGCAGAGAAAGACTGAACTTGAAGATTGAACCTCGAGCTTTCATGTTTTGCTTCGTTTAATGCTTTATTAATGTTGACTGTTTTTCTCTTAGTTATATAGCTAACCATTTATCTTAGTTATATAGTTATCTGCTGCTTATCTTAGTTTAGTTCATTTTTTTCTCTTCTTTTAATAGTGGAATTTACATTTCCAGGTGGGGAGTGTGCTGTCCCAGCCAGTCTATGGGAATTGGATAGTTACTTAGGAATTATGAGCTGTCCCCTTAAGGGTATCATGGTAAATGTAGCTAAAGGTATCCTGGGAAATGTAGTTCATGTCATGTGGCCACATCTGTAATCCAGATTGGTCACTAAATTGACCCTTGATGGGTTGGGGGAGGTTTCCCTCATTCTTGCCTGGACTCACTAACTCATAGCAGCTTTTTCTACCGCTATGAGATGGGTTAGGAGATAACCATCTTTTACCTGCAAGGCTGATATACAAAGGTCATTATAGAAGAACTTCGTCACAAATGTGAGTCATGGAGATACCTGATGTACCAATGAATGTACTTTGTTATGGATGTTTTGTGGAATTTATCTATCTGCATCTGCACAGCTACAAATCCACCTCTCTGCATGAGACAGAAAAGAATGAGAACATGGGAATTGAATTTTCCTGCGACAGTCGTAAGTGCAAGGTCTAGTAATAAATTACTTTTTAAGGCACTGTTGTAACTATGAACAATCACTAAATGAATGTCATAAGGACTCCCTATATATCCATCTCTTCCTCTCCCTCTCCCCCGCCCTGTGTAAAATGTGGGGGAAAGAATGGATAATTTACACAGAAAAGAATACAAGTATGGAGGGAATAGAAGAATTAATTTTTAACAAATGTTATCTATTAAGGAAGTGTGTGGGATGGAAAGTTGAGAAGATTACTGAACAGAGAGTGAGGAGGGAGGGAGGGAGAGAGGAGAGAGAGAGAGAGAGAGAGAAAGAGAGAGAGAGGTGGGGAGAGAGAGAGATGGATATATAGGGAGTCCTTATGACATTCATTTAGTGATTGTTCATAGTTACAACAGTGCCTTAAAAAGTAATTTATTACTAGACCTTGCACTTACGACTGTCACAGGAAAATTCAATTCCCATGTTCTCATTCTTTTCTGTCTCATGCAGAGAGGTGGATTTGTAGCTGTGCAGATGCAGATAGATAAATTCAAAGCTATACAATGCTTAAAAAAGTAACTTATTACTAGACCTTTCACTTACGACTGTCACAATGTCCCCACAGTCAGAAGCTTCACTGGATAATTTTAATGGGTGAAAAATGATGAGGAACCAAAGCCTTTCTACTCCTTATCCAGCCTTCTCTCCACCTGGTCTCCATATAGTTTAAGATACATGTCTTGTCAGCACTACTGGAAACCGTAGCTTAAACCCAGGTTGAGAAGGTTGCCTTAGACTGTACGATGTCAGATGATATTGTAGTGCTGCTTGGTCAGATTAACAGCAGGCAATGAATATGTAGTTAACAAATGAGAAAGAACAGATCTGAGCAGCAGTAGCTGAATAGGAGAACAGGAGACATTTCTCCATATGTCAATATAATTCAAAGCATGGGATACTCCTCCACTACCTAAGAAGTGAGAAGTTGCAAAAGATTCTGGGATTCCATAATTGGCTTTCTAATGCACACAAACATATCCTAGTAGGCAAATAGACAGTCCCATTGTAGATAGAACCTGTAGACAGTGTCTTTCTCGCAATACTCTTTCTCGCAATACTCAATCATATTTTAACCCATGCCTGCACAACATGCCAAGCAGCCTTGTGCAGCTTTTTTTAATAAGTAAATTTACAGCTGTTTCTACCCTGAAAAACATGCTACTGACCATTTCCAAGCCTCACTGTTGCTGCCAGATCTAGTACTTCCAATGGAACAGCTGATTGACACTCCAGGTATTTCTTTGTGGAAATTTCATGAGCGCTTTTAATTTATCAGGATGGCCTTTCCTTCTCAGCAAGTTGTGAAGCTATGCTGTATCCAGACCCTCTCCTTCCATGTTGGTTTGCCTTTCTTCATTCAAAGGAAGCAAAAATATTTTGCTTTTCATCCAGAAAGCTTCTTCAGTTCTAACTGATTTGTGGGGAATGGATTTATATTCTTTGCAGCATAAGAAGCTTCTTAGACGAGAAGCAAAATGTTTTAAAGAAAAAAAAAAACCAAGAAAGTCCAGTTGCCTTTTGGAAAAAAAAAGCATCTTTAGAATGGCATAGTTTACATTGGAAAATAAACCTGCATATGATTCCCTCTCCCATGAATGACAGTATTAGGAAAAAAATTAAAACTCCTCAATTATTAAGCAACATTACCTGTTTAACCTGGAAACCAAATGTATTTACACCAATCATTCTCAAGGACAGAATAGCAAAGCAACAAAAACAGGAGTAAATATCTCCTGAGAATCAGAACATAGAATAACAGAATTGGACCTTGAATATCATCTAGTTCAACTCTCTGCACAAGCAGGAGAATCTATATCATTTCAGATAAGTGACTGTCCAGTATCTTCTTGAAAACCTCCTGTGATGGAGCACCCACAACTTCTGAAGGCAAGCCATTCTACTGATTGATTGTTCTCACTGTTAGGAAATTTCTCCTTAGTTATAGATTGCTTCTCTCCTTGATTAGTTTCCATCCATTGGTTCTTGCCTTGCCTTCTGGTGCTTTACAAAATAGTTTGCCCCTCTTATCTTTGTGACAGTTCCTTAAATACTGGAACACTTCTATCATGTCTCCCCCAGTCCTTTTCATTAGACTAGACATACTGAATTCCTACAACCTTTCTTCATATGTTTTTGTGTCAAGCCCCCTAATCATCTTTGTTGTTCTTTTCTGCACCCTTTCCAGAGTCTCAACATCTTTTTTATATTGTGATGACCAAAACTGGATGCAGTGTTCCAAGTGTATTGGCAGTAAGAGTATGGATTAGGACTTTTAATCTTTCAATAATCTCAAGGAGTATGTTCATTTGAGCCCCCTACCACTTTATTTATAAATATTTTCTCCATTTTTTATCCTTTGCAGTCAATGGCCCAGAAAATAAACATTACTCATAAGATTGCCTTGAATGAAAAATATAGATTTCTTGACAAATTTGAAATATTGAACCTTACTTTGAATGAAGCTTCCTGTATATATGAGCCCTAAGAAAATTTATTTGCCCCTCTCAGAGTCCTAATTAAATTTTAAATTAAAATTAAATTAATTGGCCAGGAAGATGGCAAGGGAGAAGGAAGTTGAGAAGGAGGAGGAAAGCTTGAATTTATAGCAGATGAAGCCAAGTTTTCATATTCCTTCAGAGGCACAAAACAGTTAAATGTGAACGCCTTAATATTTGCTGAACCAACGGTTATATCTGGGATGCCTTAAAATTTTCCTCCTCTATTTTCAAACATGAATTACAAACCACTTGAGCAGACTTGAGGGTTGTCATTTATTCCAAAACCTCAGCAGCCTCAGTTAAAACTTATCCCTCATTCAAATTAGGGAGGGAAAATTGGTATAAGCAGCAGAGGAAGAATTGAGTGGAGCCAGAGTATTGGCTATTAATTTACTGACCTCAGTTCGACTCATTGTGATACTTGGTCAGCATTACTGGTAACTTTGCAGAGACTGATTTTTACTAATATCCTTGTATCTGAATCATACAGTTTTATAAAGTGGGACACTGAGATGATAAATCTCTGTAAAGCATCTAAGTTGGGTCTTTCCATGGTATTATTTGTTGTTTCCATCTTGACATTGTTTCTTGCCAAACTATCCTGTTCTAGTGCTTGTCCTGAAATGGATCTACTAGAAGCAAATTACTCAGTCAGCACTCTCAGCAGGACCTTTGGCAGAATAACTAAAGTGATAGGAGAAGGGTCTGCAATGAAAGGTCTGCAATATCCTTTATTGAGAGTTTGCATGTGAGTGCATTATATAATACACATGCTATAATACTCACACTTCGCTATCCTCAAACACATATTGCCAATGATAACAATGATGTTGTTGTTGCTCAGTCACTAAGTCCTGTCCAACTCCCCATGACCCCATGAATCACAGCACACCAACCCCCCTGACTTCCACTATCTCCCAGAGTCCGCCTATATCCATGCTCACTGCATTGATGATACTATCTAACCATCTCATCCTCTGCTGTCCCCTTCTCCTTTGCTTTCCATCTTATCCAACATCAAGGTCTTTTCCAATGAGTCCTTCTTCTCATTTGGTGGCCAAAGTATTTGAGTTTCAGCTTTAGTATCTGTCCTTTCAAAGAACAATCAGGGTTGGTTTCCTTAAGGATTGACTGATTTGATCTTCTTGTGGCCCAAGGAACTCTCAAGAGTCTACTACAACATCACAATTTGAAAACATCAATTCTTCAGTGTTCAGCCTTCCTTATGGTCTAACTCTCATAGCCATACATTTCTATGGGAAAAACGAGTTTAACTGTAATAACACTAAGAAGAAAGCAATTATTAATTTCTCATCTCTAGAAGACCCAATAAATTTGACTATCTTCAGATGAAGTTAATGTGAACCAGGCTACAATTGGTCAGGCAACTCACACAGTTTACAGACGTAGGTGGGACTAGACTCCAATTATTTTTTGCAAAAATGAAATTTAGCACATCAAGTTGGCCAAGCAGAGGTAGGATTAAATACCGTTACCCATTTCATATTTTGGGGTCCAGTAGAGCAGTGAATTGTCTATGATAAATTAAGACCTGGGATGTGGTATATTCAGTACTGCCTCAATATACATAAATTTGAAATTTGTGTAGAAGACTTCCTAGGCTCTTTCTCCCAATTAATTTCTATGTCCCAAGGCTGAGAAAGCCAAAACCTTGATGAAACTTTGATGTGTGTGCATGTATATCTATTTATCTATATATCTATCTACTTCCAGTTTTTAAAATAGCACAGGATGGTCACTGAAAAGGTTTCTTTGATAGTAGTGAAAAATGTAAGATAAAAAGCAGCTGAGTAGAGAGTTTGAGAGTTTTTCTAAAACAGAAAGAAATAACTTTGAACTTTCAGACAATGTATTTTAAACCCAAACAGATGTGTCTTAAGCTCTGTTTTTGATCCCCTTGTAGGTTTCCTTTCAAAACAGGTACATATGTGTTGAAATGATGACTTTCAGATGCCTGAATATAATTTGTCTCTGTTAGGGTACCACCTTGGTACATAGATCACACATGTTGAGTGCTCAGAGTCTTTGAACATAAAATGAAAGGACCATGTAGAATTTATGTTGGCCTTTAAGCTCTTGTGTCTGTGTGCATAGACCATGTAACTGAAGCGGTGCAACCACACACCAAAATAGAATGTTTGAATAATCCTTTTATCTTAAAGTCCTGGGAGGTGCTAAGTTTAACTGAATTGGAGGTGAGGGGGGAGAAACATAATTCTGGAAGTTAAAATATGAACTCATGTGCCATAAATATTAGAGACTCCTGCTTACATTT